TCTCAAGATATGACCAAATAATGATGGATGCCATTCTATCTCGTATTGGGCACAACATCACCCATCTATCATTTGAGTTGTTTTCTGTCGATCTGGATAAACATTTCTTCCTACTCATCGCGAAACATTGCACCAATGTGGAGAACTTCAGCAGCAGCGGATGGCAGAAATCAGCAGAGCTGAAGCACTTACTTTCTTGCAATACAAAATTAAGATCCATTTACTTGGATGGAGCAGAGGTGAGTTTAAGCGCATTGCAAGGCCGGAACTGGAAATGTTTGCACTTACTAGGTGGCATGCCGATTTGGGAAAAGGCTTCGAAGGAACGAGTAGTGGAACTCATAAATGGCAGTTCCGATTTGGAAGATTTGAGACTTGACACATGGTCGGAAGAAATTCGTGATGCCGTCGTAAAGAAGTCGAAATTGAAGTCCCTGGGTTATTGCGAAGAATTGTTTCGCTATGGTCGACGTCCGGAGTTAATTAATTTCCAGGGAATGCGATTATTGACGAGTTTGGCCCTATGTGATCTCGGGATAAAGGTGGATTGTGCAGAACGTTTCCTCAGGATGCTCATCCAAATATCCCTGTATTGTCCAAACTTCCAGGAATTATCAATACGAGGTGAAAATTCAATAAAAATGATATACTTCCATGAATTCTTAGTAATTAAGGATAATAATAGTGATAATAATAATGATCATAATAATAATAAGAATCATACTAAAAATACTAATAACAATAACAATCCATAATAGTAACTACCATAATAATAATATTCTTATTATTATGGTAGATAATAGGAGAAGCGGGGGGTGGTTATTATTATTTCATTGTATATCTATATTGAGAAAATTTAAGGGCGATGAGAAACAATATGTAAAAACTCGAGAGGGTATACGGAAGACGAATAATTCTGAATAATTATTTGCATAAAAATGTTTTTGCCTTCATTGCAGAGACGGCGGTATCAAATTCGGCGTATGAAGCGATGTTGGCTTTACCAAAACTTCATACCCTGGCCTTAGAAAATATCAAGTCCTTTGATGATACCATGCTCGTGCGGCTATCAAAGCTTCGCCGGTTAGCAGTGAAGAACGTTGGTTATAGCGTTGAACGATTGCTGTCGTTTTTGGCCGAAGCCACCGATTTGGAGTATTTGGACATTAGCTGGAGTAGCCTATATATTGCAGAACTGTAGCAGATCATTAATGTTACATTCCATCGAAAGAACAAACTGAAGATCATCGTTCACCAACGTGATATGAATAAAATTGTATCCATGTCTCCAGGAAAACATGTGACGTTCGCCCAGTGGCATTATAAGCAACATACGCATTTCCTGCTCCGTCCATGAATAATTAATATGAATATAAATATGTAAAATCTATGGAATGGCGAATAACAACGAATTTTGTTGATAATATAGTTGAGATTTCCAAATACTTGATTCATTTGGTAGGGGGGGGGGGCTTGTGTATAGATTGCACAATACACAAGCCCACGTCACC